TGAGTATGTGGTTCTAGCAGGCCTTGTCCTTTTCCCCAATTCCCGCTGCCTTGCTACAAAACGGGTTACATTTCTAAAGCTAGCCCCCAATGTCTATTCCCTTGAGGCTGACTACCAAGGTTCAGCCACCAAAGAATTGAAGTCCAGCAATCAAAAGCACCCTTTGGCTCACCTAATTAACATGCCCAAACAAAATATACTTCCCCATCCTAACCCATTCTAACTCAGATCTCCCCTTTTTCTCTCTTTAAAAATCACATCTGCAGCCGGGCGGCGGTGGTGCATGCCTTTAATCCCAGCACTGCGGAGGCAGAGACAGGGGGATCTCTGAGTTTGAGGTGAGTCTGGTCTACAGAGGGAGTTCCAGAGAAACCCTGTCTAGAAAAACCACAAAGTAGAAGGCTGGTGGGTGGAGGGTAGGAATGGGGAGGGGGGGTTAAGGAAAATACGTAAACTATCAAAGACTGTTTCCTGCCCATCACAGTTCAGATAACACTGAGTATGTGATGTCATGGGCTCTTCCTAGCTGTTTCTAAGTCTGCTAGGGAAGAACAATGAGGTTCAGCCTTCTAAGTTTATAGTCTCTCTCTCTCTCTCTCTCTCTCTCTCTCTCTCTCTCTCTCCTCTCTTTGTCTCTCTCTCCTCTCTCTCTCTTTTTCTCCCCCCCTTTTATTTATTTTCATTTTAAGTGTATGCATGTAGGTCTGTGTATCACATGTGCTCAGTGCCAGAGGAGGCCAGAAGGGGCGACAGATCCCTAAAACTGGAGTTGCTTATGGCTGTGAGCTACAGTGTAAGTCCTGGGAACTGAACCTGTGTCCCCTGGAAGAACAGCAAGTTCTCTTAATTGCGGAGCCATCTCTCCAGTCTTCTTTTTTTGGGTTTTTTTTTTTTTTTTTTGGGGGGGGGTTGTTGTGTTTGTTTGTTAGTGCCGGGGATGCAATCTCTGACCTCCTACACGCTAAGTAAACACTCTGTTTCTGAGCCACTTCCTGGGCTCTGTCAGCGGGTCTCAGGCATCCACCAAAAGATGGGATTGTACAAAAAGGCAATGGCCTTAGCTTCCAGATTCTTCTTATTGTTGCCACTGAATGGGAATATGTGGGCTGGACGGGACAGTGACGGGCTAAGAGTTATTTTCCTTCCTGGGCCCCCAATGCAAACCTCAGCCGCACCCAGCTCAGCCCAGCTTCCCGCCAGGCCCTACAGCTTAGCCACAGGCTCTGCGCAGACTCCCAGGCTCGCTCTGGGAGGAGGGGCAACGAGCGGCGCTGGAAAAGGGCAGGAGGAGGGCGGTGGGCCTCTTCCCTCCTGGAGCGCCAGAACCTGGCCGTGTGCGGCTGCCAAGAGCAAGTGAGGCACAAGCCCATTCTCGGCCGGTTGTTTGCGCTCTGGAGCTCATTTTCCCACAGAAACAAAGCTCCAGTGGAGGTTGGCTCCTTGCCTGGCTCCAGGGAACTGTAATGAGTTCACAGCTACAGCCTCAGACCTTCACCCCTCCACATTGTCTGAGGCTAGCTGGGGCTCTAATGGGAGCCTCTGAGACCACAGACCCACCGGCACCTCTGCCGAGGCCCTGGGGCTGTGGGAACTGGGGCCCGCAGAAAACATATTTTGTTTAAACTTTTTTTTTTCCTTTTGGGGGGGTGCTAGGGATCTACCCGGGGCTTCTTGTTGCTAAGGCATGTGAGGGTCATCCCCAGCGCTGTTCGCCTAAGCCATGGGTGGAGAGAGTGTCCTGAACAGGGGAGTCCTGGGCTACTGTCTAAGAACTTGGACTTTCTCCTTTATAAAAGGTGACAGGGCCAGATCCATAAACCTTTAGTGTTTTCTCTTTTTAACGGTGGTATATGCCTACAGTCCCAGAACTTAGGGGTCAGAGGCAGGAGAACTTCCAGGACTGGAGGCCAGTTGGGGCTACATAGCTCATTCCAAAGATCATGTGGGCTGCAGAATGAGACCTTGTCATTAAAAAATAAAAAGTTTTTTTAAAGAACCTTTTGTTTTTGTTTAAGACAAGGTCTCATGCCAGGCACTGGTGGTGCACACCTTAAATCCCAGCACTCGGGGAGGCAGAGGCAGGAGGATTCCTGTGAGTTCGAGGCCAGCCTGGTCTACAGAGGGAGTTCCAGGACAGGCTCCAAAGCTACAGAGAAACCCTGTCTTGAAAAACTAAAAATAAATAAATAAATAAATAAATAAATAAATAAATTTTTTAAAAAATGAGGTTTTCTCTATAGCCCAGGCTGACATAGGCATCTAAACATCCAGCATCTCAAGTGCTGGAGTCCAGGTGTGCGCTACTCTGGGCTTCAAGCAGTTTTGACTATAACAGACTAAAGCTTTAGTAAGACTGGTAGATGGATGGACCCCCCTCGCACTGCCTATATGGCAGTGGTGGCCACATCATGTGGCTGTATTTCTTCCTCTTTGTTCCCGGGGGGGGGCGGGGGACCCCCCCCCCCATGGCTAGATACACCTAGATATACCCACCCCTACACAAGTATTCGACCAGGCAGACATAAATACACCCAGATACACACAACATACATGCACGCGTGCATACACACATGCAGACACTAACTCACCCTTACGCATTTGCTTAAGGTCTCGGAGGAAGTGCAGAGCTGTGTGTGACATTCTAGACTGGATGGGGGTGTGTGGTCTGAACCCTGGGCCTTCTCGGCGACCCATGCAGCCGTGGGCAAGCCAGCACCACTCTCTCCTCCATTTTGAGCTACAAAAGCTGTATCATGGGGACTTGGGATGATGAAGCTTCTTTCTTTCCCTTTTTTATATTTATTTATTTAATTTGCGTGTGTACACATGGGCGTGGATGCACACATGCCACCCGCAGCCCAGGTGCAGGAATCAGAGAGAACAGCTTGCAGGAGTTGATCCTCTTCTACCATGTGGGTGCTGGAAAACAAACTCAGGTCGTCGGGTTTGGCAGCATTTATCAGCTGAGCCATCCCCATCTCGTCACTTAAGGTTCCGTGACAGTCTCTGGAAACTGAAAGTCATTCTACAAGCAAGATACTTATGAGTGGCTGAAACCACAGCCATGATGGTGGAGCCGGATCCCAGCAGGGAAGTTCCAGCCTGTGAGGCCCTTGTCTGCCATACTTACATTCCGGGGCACGCCAGGGCTTTCTGCGCTCGAGCAGAGGGCTGCCACAGCAGGAATATGCAGGGTGGAACGTGCTGAGCTGGGGGAGGTAGGAAGACAGGGCTCTGTGGAAGACGGAGGCTGTTAGCAGGGCAGGTGAAAAGAGACTCTATGGGAGACTGACAGCCCCGCGGTTAGGCGGTTAGATGTACTGGGACCTGTGAGACCTGTGGCTGCCATGGGAACAGGCCTAGGAACACAAAGCAGCAGAAGCAGGGAGGCCCCACCCGGAAAAAAAACATCCTGGTTGCTGGGGCCAGGCAGCCTCCGTGGGAGGGGTTATTTTTAGCAGTTTAGTCGGCTGGGGCTGGACTTGTATGGCCTTGCTGTCTGGCTTCATAACGCACCCATTGTCCTGTCTGACCTTGTATAGCTGCTGGGAGGCCTTTCTGTCTGCCCCTTGCCCTCTGCGGTGCACTGGGGCTACAAAGAACCTAGAGAGGGAGCTGGCCTGGAAACACAGGTGCTCTCTATAGCCCTAGGTTATCCAACACAGGGCAGAGAGTTTCTGGGCAGGTGGAGGGCGCTGGGCCTCCCTGGACACCAGCTAGAGGCTCCCCTGAGACACAAGGGCTGGAGGATGTCCCCAGAGTACTGGAGCAGAGGTATAATGGGTGCAGAGATGCAATGCTCCAGAGGACAGAGACTCCCTTATTGTAGATGTCCTCCCATTCCAGTCATACCCTGGGTGGTCTCAGACAAGTCCCTGCAGGGACTGAGGTGTGTGTGTGTGTCTGTGTGTCTGTGTGTGTGTGTGTGTGTGAGAGAGAGAGAGAGAGAGAGAGAGAGAGAGAGAGAGAGAGCGTGCGCATGCGTATGAGAATGAAGATCCTTCCAGGTATGTTTGTGTGTGTCTGTAAATATATATATATATGTATATATGTGTGTGTATGTATGTGTATATGGGGTGTATGTGTGTGTATGTGGTGTGTGTGTGTGCGTGTGTGCGTGCATGTGTGTGTAAAAAGCCCAGGTAGTCTCTCTTCCCATTTCTCTTGCCCATACCCAGGCATCCGGCTCTTGGCTTTGGGTGTGTGATCTCTGTGTTTAATTCTGGACACAACACACACAAAGTAGGCCCAAAGTTGGCTAGTGGCATCAAGGATAAAAATACTGCAGAGGGTACCCTCCCCCATCCAAAGCTAATGTGAGCCACAGGGATGACTGTGGAGCTGGACTCTGGGAAAAGCTACCTCTGGCTGTCCCTGACTAGAGCCAGGGTGCAGCTGAAGGCCAGCCTGTATCAGCCCCCTCCTCCCGGGCCGAGGGAAGTCTACCTTCTCTCACCTGCTCATTCTGTTTGTTTGGTATATGTGCCTGTATGTATGAAAGGTCCCAGATGTCATGTCTCTGCTGACATCCACCTTAGTTTCTGAGATAAGCTTTCTTACTTGAAGCTCACCTATTAGGTTAGGCTAGCGGCCAGCAAAGCGCCAGGAACCTACCTGTCTCTACCTCTCCAGTGTGGCCATTACAAGTGTGATTCTTTTCTGGGGCTCGAACTTGGGTCCCCTTGACGCTTATGTAGTGAGCATGTCACCTGCTGTTTCGGCTTACACATTTGTTTTTATTTATTTACTGGGCATGCATGTGCTTCTGCCCGTGTCTGTGCTCCATGCACCAGGACACGCAGTGAGAGGTCAGGGGACAATTCGTATGAGTCAGTTTCGTCTTCTACCATGTGTGTTCCAGGAATCGAATTCAGGTCCGAAGGCTTGGTGGCAAACCCCTTACAGGCAGAGCCACCTTGCCTGCCCCTATTCCCAGACCTTGAAGGCTGAGAAGTCATAGGAAGGAACCTCTGGTGGCTGAGGCATGAAAAAGGGAGTCGTGCATGCCACAAACATTTATTGAGCACCTACTGTGTGCCAGGTAGTTCTCGAGACCTGGAAAAGAAGGGCTGGGGCAGTCTGGAGTTGTCCCAGCTGAAGTTCTCCTCCCCAAACAAGTCCTGCAAGGGGCCGCCGGGGACCCCTGTCTTGAAAAGTGGAAGGTCTAGTTATACAAGGCAGGGACCTCTGGAAGTGGGGCAGTTGGCAGTGTGGGGGGTCTCTGAGGCTGGCTCCTTCTTCTCCCGGGAAATACGGGCAAGGCCACTGCAGGACGAGACAGGCCGGCCTCACCTTCTCTTCAGTACGGATATACATGATTTCTTGAGTGGCCCAATCTGCAGGTGGGCGTCCACACTCTCCAGGAAGAAGGCAGGCTTGAGCCTGTGGTTGAAGAGCCCTGAAAAGTGGCTGTCCAGGCGACTCTGGAAAGGGTCAGTGGGGGAGGCCAGGGCACCACTGCGGCGTGGCTTAGAGGCTTTAAGCCTCCGAAGAAGGCTCAATTTTCCGTCCCGAACGGCATAGAAGGCCAGGGCGTGGTCCGCATACTCCAGGCAGACCCCAACCGTGGGTGAAAAAGCGTGAGGTAGTGGGGCCTCCAGCCCGCAGAACCAGACCGAGAAGCCACGCCCATTCCACTGCAGACAGCACGAGAGTGCATTTCGGCCCAGGCGGCCCCGGTCATAGGGCTCTTGCGGAGAGAAGCCCTCAGCCATGACACCCACACTGACCCATCCTTCGATGATCTCTACCTCCCAGTAGTAGGTGCCCCGGTCCAGGGCCCCCTCTCCTAGCACCTGCTCACAGTGTGTGAAGCGGGTGGGCGACTCCGGGTAGTTGATGGGACATAATACCCTCTTGACGCCCTTGGTTCCGAACAGTTGCAGGAACTTGTCTGCCGTGTCGCTGTCCAGGTCCACGATGTAGGCGACTGGACCCCACGGATGGGAGAAAGACACAGGTCACAGTCAGGCTCCGACGGGACAGTCCCCCGCAGGGACCCACCTCCCCCAAACACAGCCTGTCCAGCACTAATGGGGACCACCCACGGAGATGACCTTGCTCACCCCAGAGATTAAGGAGGGGCTTCCCGAGCTCTGTGTTCCTGAAGCTTAGCAGTTAACAGAGGTGCTTTGGTAGCGGCGAGCCGGCTACTTACACTTGAGGAAATAGTCCCTGGGAGGCTCATTCTCCAGCAGGTTGGTGCTGTCAGGGTCCTGGGAGTCCACATCGGCTGCACAGAAAGGAGCGGTGTGGAAGCCATCTCTCTTGATACCCGTGACTGGCTGCGCGGCTACCCTCCTAATGCCCCACCCCCACCTGTGGCTGTAATTTCCTCCACCCTGCCTTCAAAAGCCCCCAGCTATGTGGTGACAGACACGCCCATACGGGACCGTGTTCTCACGCACGTGTGTTGCTTGATTCCCCCCCCCCTCCTGCCTCCTTGCATGCAAGGCCTTGATCTCTCTGAAGTTCGTGGGCGAGCAAGAAGAATCCCTTCCGCCCCCTGTGTGTGTGTGGGGGGGGCGTAACTTCAGTTCCTGGCAGGGTTATGGCCCCCTCCCCCAGTGCCAGACACTTTCCCTCCTCCATTTCCGGATGGACACCAGATTTACATGGTAAATCTGGGGGAGGGGTGTGGGTCATCTTGGAGGGGCACCCACCTTCTGAGCCATGTTTCTGCAGCTCGTCCTCATCGCTGCCCCGCCCCCGCAGCTGCTCCCACTGGCTGGCGCAGGCTGAGACCAGGATGTCTCTCAATGTTCTGACCACTTGGGAGGACTTGGTGAAGCTGAGTTCCCTGGGGGGCCCAGGGCCAGGGCCGCACCCCTCCTCCAGGGCCAGCCGTAGTGTCAGGAGTTCCTGTACCAGACAAACGCCCACTAAGGCTCATTGGCCATAGCTTCCCCCAGCCGGGGAAGGTAGCGACTGTCCTGGAAGGCCAGGTACCCATCGCCTCTGCCATCATTTCTCAACCCCGACCCTCATCACTCGGATTCCCCCTGTGGCTCAGGAGCTGCCCTCACCTGAAGAAAGCTGACTGAGTCAGCTTCTGGAACCTGACTGAGGTTGTGACGTGCCCGGCTCAGGCGGCTGCGCTGTTCCTCCTGTCTACGCAGGTCACCCTGGGAGCGGCCCAACATTGTGGCCTCTCCCTCCTCGATGAACCCCAGCACCTCGGTCTGGAAACTCTGTAGGGTGGCTGTGGCCTCGGCAAACATCTGGCTCACCCTCTCCCGCTCTGCCAAGGCCGCACTCTGCAGGATTGGAGAGTGGAGGCAAAGACTCAACTTGGCTTCAGATTCCTTCCCTGACTGTGTGTGCCCACTGAGTCCTACGGAGAGGACCAGTCCAAGCTCTGGATTTGAGCCATGTCTCAGGAAACGAGGTGCTCCTGCTTAGTAGGGATGAGCAGTTCCTAATCAGGGTGGTCCATGCTAAAAGTTTATGTACAATTTGAGGCCTGCTTCAGGGGTGCCCAGGAGGATTAGCGTGGGGTCTGACCTTGATGAGGGCCACGGTTCGGCGGGTCTGAGCAATGCTGGCACCCAGTTCATCCATGCGGTCCTCCACAGCACTCAGGACTTTGGACTGCTCGGCCTGTGGATGGGGCTTTGTGAGCCTGGTGTCTAATGACAAAATATGCCCAGTTCACCCCTGGTTCAGCTTGGTGCCATTCCCAAATGCCTGGCAAGGAAGCAGGCTGTGTGCCTCTGACTACCTGTTGATCAGAGAAGTCAGTATAGGGCTATCTAAGGTTCTCAATTTGTTTGGGATTTTTCCCCCCTGGTGGGGTAGAGGCAAAGACTGAGAGGGTAGGATTGGGGTGTGACTGAACTAGAGGGGAGCACTGGGGATTAGTTTCAAAGGACCCTGCACCCCCAATCCAGTCCTAAAATATGGGGATTCCGGGCAAATCCCTTGGGTCTTATGAGTCACAGCTCCAGGCCTGAGAGACGGAAAATCCCAGAGCTAAAGGCGCCAAGACCGGGATGGAGGCCAAAGGAAACTGGGGGTGGGAGGTGGTGGGACACTGGGCACATGCTCCCGACGGCCCCAGAACACTCGGACAGAGAAGTTCTGTGTGACCAGCCCAACCTCCATCATACTCCTGGTGGCTGCCACACCCATCCACAGTGGCTGACTCAGTCCAGGACAAATCTGAATTGGGACCAGCAAGAAGAGCTCCATCAGCCATGGGGCCACGCCCGCAGGCAGTCGCTCCTGGTAGCCACCGGCTCCAAGGGCCTAACCCAGATACCTCTGGCTTTACACCCACGCTGACCCAGCTTCACACACACACACAAACACACACACACACACACACACACACACACACACACACCCTCCATTCGGCTCTTTGCCACTCTTTCATCTACTCAGTGGTCCTTTCTGACTCCCCTTCCATCCACACCAGCCCCAGAGAAAGACACTGTAGACCGGAAGGGGTTGCAAAGAGCCTCAAGTTAGAGGAGGAAACTAAGGCAGCGCCTATTGAGTCAGAGAGCTGAAACCCACGTAAAGGTGGGAACCAAGGAGAAACTAAGGCAGCGCCTGTTGAGTCAGAGAGCTGAAACCCACATAAAGGTGGGAACCAACTTCACCAAGATGTTTTCTTAATCTCCACGTACACATTCACAAAAGTAATAAAACTAACAAAAGACACAGCCCGAGGAGAGCGGGGGTGGGGGGACTAAATGGCTCTCCTGCCCCGCCTGTCACCCATCTCCACGTGCCCGTTCAAGGCGCCCACGCCCCACCTCCTGAAGCGCGCGCTCCTGCTCCAGCGGCACCAGCTCGTGGCCGCGATGCTCCTGAGCGGCACAGGTCTCGCACAGGCACACCCTCTCCACGCGGCAGTAGCGCTCCAGCGGGCGCAGGTGGCGAGGGCACAGGCTCTCCTCCAGCCGGCGAAGCGGCGGCACCAGGCGGTGGCCGCGCAGCGCGGGGCTGC